ACTCTTCAGTTCAAAATAACATGCAAATGAGGACAGAAAAGGTTCAAACTTGGCATAGTGTCATTATACTACCCCTATGTGTGTGGTAAAAAATATAGATTTTTATAGAAAAAACGCAATGCACTTCGTGTACAGCCTGATGACACCATACCCCCCACCACCCCCCGGCGCGCGTGATGTGTCACGGTTTTGGACGGAAACCTTCACATTCCACATAGGACTGAATTTTTTTAAATCATTTACCCTTCAAACTTGTTTTATGTTTAATACACACCGTTTAAAGTGTGAAGCTGAATTTTTGTCCCTTTTTTAGCTGGTTTGCTATTTTTAAAGCACTAATTGAATTTCTGGCCATTAAAAAGGGCAAAATGCTCTTCGGTTCAAAATAGCACACAAAACGAGGATGTAAAAGGTCGAGTTGGCATGGTGTCATTATATGACCCATATAGGGTGTGACCAAAATTTGAGATCATTACGGGAAAAAGCGATGCACTTTGTGTACAAACTGAGCACTCTCCCGTGAAGTGTCATGATTTCAAACGGAAACCACTGCCTTCCACATAGGGCATAAGTTATTTTAAATCATTTCACTTCAATTTGTTTCTATGTTTAATATGCACCATCTTAAGTTTCATGCACAAATTTTTCCATTTTTGAGCTGGTTTTCTATTTTAAATGCATTAATTATTTTTTGTCAATTAAAAATGGCCAAATGCTCTTCGGTTCAAAATAACATGCAAACAAAGTAAACAAACTGAAACTTGGCTTCTGTAGGATGCGGTAAAAATTTGGGATCATTACGGGAGAAACTTGATGCACTTCATGTACAAACTAAACACTCTTCCGTGAAATATCCAGGTTTTGAACCGAAACCGCCACCTACCACATAGCACTCAATTTTTTACACTATTTTCCCTTCGAACTTTTTCTATGTCCAATACACACCATTTAAAGTTCCAGGCTCAAATTTTTCTCTATTGTGGGTTTAATAAATATGATTTTATTCAATCCATTCCCTTACTTACTGTAGTTGTGGCGGATGTCAGCATGAGCTGCCACTACTAACTTTTGGAAATTTTGAAAAAATTGGGCGTGGGCCAGCAAAATATTTCTTTTGCGGGCAAACTTTTTGCCTGCCGTTGGTACGGTACATTCGAGTGACGAACAGTAATTTGGCGTCCGCCACTGCTAATTTTATCCCACGCCTAATTTTGTAAAAACTTACAAGTGGCAGGTCACTATTTTCACCCGTGACTATTGTGCTTTAGTAGTGACTGACAACAATTTTCGCCGGCTCTCGTATACTATGCCAAAACAGTAATTGACGATAGTAGACCTCGTCCGCAACTAATGTGGCCACACCTGTAAACCTCTTTCCCTGTAGTATTAGACCCCGATACACATATAAGTTGGGGCTAGGTTACTCGCATAGACACAGAAACTCAGAGTTGTTGTTCAGTCCCTCGATCATTAATTGTAACCCCTATACATGAGCTGATGAGCAATATACATGAGCATGAGTAGGGTATTGCCTCTTGTATGAGTGGTTGAACCTGGTTAAACCATTGCCCATGTTACCATCAAATCTACTCGGCTAGCCGGATAACCTATGTTGCCAACGAAAGACTCCTGCATGACCATCTTGCAGTATATGACCATGTAGGACGGTGGCAGGGTTGCGCGCGTGGTGCGCGGCCGTGCTGATCCAAGCTGGCTGCACGATGGTCTGCTGGTGATGTGCATCGCTCGATCTGGATAGCTAGATCCGGGCGCAAGTGCTCGATGCAGATGGTGTCATATGGCTGCATGAGGCATCGATCAGCGGTTGCACCTAGCAGATGCTTTGTGTTCGGCAGAGCGTGTCCAGGATGCAACAACGGTCATGGTCATCCCGGCGACGCCTGATCTGCATATGCTCGCCTTCACTCCTCTGCTCAATGTGCTTTTCCTTATGGATCTGGCCATCTGGGTCGTGAGACTTGCCAGTGCTCGATGCGGTAGGAGCTAGAGGTGGGGATTCAAATCGGGAGATATCCCTTTCCGACACTGTTCGGCCACGACTGCGGCGACGCCCGAGGGCGCCATTTTTTCTCAATGGAGATGTTGGTCAGATCTTCTTCTACCTCCACCAAGCCACTTATTTTCTAGGTGAAAGCCTAACTGTGGTAGGCGGTGACGACACCTTCAGGGTCGTTCCCTTCTTGAAGGCGCTCCCTTCTTGAAGGCGCCGCCTTGGGAGATAGTTGGTTGGTGGACATCGTTGGGTTGGCGTTGGCGACGACCTGGAACAAGAGGTGGTGTGGTGTGGCACCTACCACGTCGACAATGGCGGCTCTTGGCTGCGTGTCACAACGAGGTCTCAGCGATGGACGTATGGTGATGGACGCGGGCAGGATGGTGGCACCGAGGGTAATTGGGCCTGGCAAGATCAATGCATTGATATCTCCTGAAGTTGGGTTGGCGGAAGATGGGGGCATTGGATTCTGAAGCGTGCACATGCGGTGCGTGTCGAGGGTTAGCTAGACCGGTTGGTGCTCTCGGCATGCCGTCGGGCAGTTTGGTGAGACCACTAGTTTAGATGGTGTGCGCGAGTGCGGTTAGGGCACATCATCAAACTAGTAGGTGTAGCGACATAGATCGCCGGAAAGGTGGCTTTGGGTTGATCCATGCATTTATTTTGTCTGTTGTATATGATAATAAATATGGCAGTATGCATCGCTTGATGCAGAGGCCAGGGGTTATCCTCCTTTTCTAAAAAAGAAAAATATATATAACTTGGAAGGTCTAGATTTAATGTGTACAATGAAGCATTTTGCAGCCTAGTACCTAACGTACTAGACCATGTCCACTGCTTAAGTAGCAACAACAACAAGAAAAATACCAGGCCCCTGCCTTTCTTAAAAGTATCATAGTAGCACAACTATAATAAGCAAAACGTATCTTGTACATTCCATGCTTTTTCACAAGGTTGTGATGCTTTTGAGTCATTGATTAGTTGAAGTCATGCTTTTGTGAATATGGCTTTCTCTGTTAGGCAACGTGTATATATCGTGTAAACATGATACGTACCCACCAAGTGTAACATGAACTTTACACCAAACGGCCATTTACTGATGAGATCCTACAGCTATGACCTTCCATTAGCAAATGGGATATTATCCTCTGGGGTATCTCATTTGTCCTCCAAGTAAAAATGCAAATGAGAGGCATAATTGTTGCTTGTTCCAACAAATTTCATGGTATAAGATTGCCCTTGATTTTCACTGCAATGTTTTTGCTCCCCTATCCACCTCCAATGTCACGATGATCCCCATGTCACCTCCTCCCCATCTCATACAACCCCAGACCACCCAAAACAAGTCGCCATGTTTGAGAGGGAATCCTCTGACCCCCTCGACCATCTTAACCGATTCAAGTGGTTGCATCGAGAGCACCAAGGCTCCTCGTTCCCATCACCCTCAACATCAGGGGAGCAAACTACACTAAGTGGCACATCTTTTTTTGTTGCTACCTATCATCAAGAATCCCCTCACTAACCCCTGCTACGTTTTTTTCGAAAAGGGGGGATTCCCCGGCCTCTGCATCGGAACGATGCATACGGCCATCTTATTATCAAAATAAAGAAGTGCCAACATGGTTCCAAAGGTCTCCACAAGTCATAGAAAAGCACAAAAAGCTCACACAGAGCCAAAAAAGGCTAGAAACATCAACTAGCCAAAACAAGATGCCACAACCGGCTGGCTGAACTAGATAGGGATACTAAATGCCTATCCTATTACATGACCGCCATCCAAACCGGTTGAAGATATCCCGAGCTACCATCTCCCAGCGGAAAGACCCAGTAACCAAATGCCCCCTGGTCTCCGTCTGGGTGAGTAGCGACCACGAACGGATCAGTGCCGTAGTCCGGAATAAGACCTGCAAAAAATGTATACATGATATTCTGTTAAAGACCAAATCGTTTCTGCAATTCCAGATAGTCCACATCAAAGCACAACCTCCAACCCGAATATGTCTCGCTAAGTTAGGCTCAATCCCATTAAGCCATGTCCCAAATAACGCATTAACAGAATTCGGGGGTTTGATATTAAAAGCAACGTGGACCGTCTACCAAAGTACCTTGGCCAGCGGGCAATCAAAAAAGAGGAACAAAGGAGTGGTTTTGTCTCAACTCCATTATGCTCCAATAGATCTATGGATCCATTGCGGCCATATAGTAGACCTGGTTATGAAGGAGAACGCTACAGCTAAACATGTTTGGATGCACATGGGGAAAGTCTTCCACGTTAGCCCAAAGGTGGTGGCATCCTCGGACTACTTCATTGCACTCCAAGTCTACATGTGTACATGGCAAGTCTCTGACCCCTCCTAGGCGCATAACCCATGCCATTCATCCAATCATGCCTTATTCATAATCGGGGTCCATGCTTCTCACACTACGATTGCGTGCACCTGCCCACCACATGATTCATCAGCATCACCCTCTTGGGATCCCCCCCACCTCCATCTAGCAGGGCAATGCCATGAGGCTGGCCATAGTGTTATTATCTTAGCTGATATCATGCACTTGGAAATAGCAAACACGCTAATGTGGTAGAGAATTAAAAAGAGACAGCATTAGAGTTTTTTTTCATTGATTGCAAATTTTTGTTGATAACTTACCAAGATGACCACTTGGTAACATTGATAGATACCGTATCATATTAAATGTTATGCTACTTTGTGTCATGCATGACAATAAATAAAATAATTTATAATACTACTCTACGATACTGTGCACTATGAAGGTAGTACCATACACTAGTATCATATGCATGGTACTAGTAGTTAATGAACACCACTAGCACATCACATGTGGTCCTAGTAATTTCCACCCCCATTCTTCACAACCTATTTTTTTTAACATGTCGTTGTTGATGGTCGGTGACTCCTAGCTTAATTTATTATGTAAGTGTACCTAAAGTCGTCTCTGTCTTTGATTATGGCAGAGAAATATATAAATGGCTGGTGAATTAGAGATACTTCTGGTGGCATGGGAAGGGTGGGGGATCCAAGTGATGGTGCTCCTGAGTTTCACAGTGCAGGTCACACTCCTCCTTTTGGCAGATATTCGTCGCCGCAACGACTCCACCATGCTTAAATTCATCATATGGTCAGCATACATGCTGGCCGACACGACAGCGTTATACGCCTTGGGACACATGTCCCTGGTGAGTAGGTCACCGGAGCAGCAGCTCATGGTGCTGTGGGCACCGTTGCTGCTAGTGCACCTTGGCGGGCAGGACAACATCACGGCCTATGCCATTGAGGACAACCGACTATGGCTGCGTCACCTGCATACTTTTGGACTGCAGGTCCTCGCGGCTGGCTATGTCTTGTATGCATCTTCCGTCCTGGGCAGCCGGACCTGGGTTCGTCCGGCTGCCATTCTCATGTTTGTGGTCGGGGTTCTCAAGTATGAGGAAAGAGTATGGGCACTCATGTGCGCAAGCAATTCTGCCAGTAGCAGCCTATCCGCCACAAGCTACAAGGATTTCCGCACCGGGCAACACCAGCAGTTGGTGCCGGAGGGAGATGGTGTGCAATATCAGCAGTTGGCACCGCAGGGACACGATGAGCAACATCGGCAGTTGGCTTCAGACGGAGCCCATCAGGGAAACCAGAAAGACCTACTATTTTTAGCTTTCACATTGTTGGACGTTCCCAAGCAATTGTTCGAGGGGCCGGCACGTTTTGTGAAAATCAATAGGGATCACAGTTTTGAAGGACGGGAGATGTTGGAGGTGGTCGGAATGCAACTATCTATGATGTACGACTTGCTGTACACCAAGGCTGCGGTGGTCCACACTTGGTATGGTAGGTGCATCCGTGTCATCACACTGCCGGCCACAGTCACGGCATTACTGTTGTTCCATAGATCAAGTGACAAACATGGTTACCACAGAATAGATGTGGTTGTCACTTATGTTTTGTTGGGTGGTGCGGTCATCTTGGAGACCACATCAGTATTACGGACCATGTTCTCCAAATGGACATATGCATTCATGTTAGAAAAGAAATGTGCATTGCTTGCTCCTGTGGTTCGACATACTCGCAGAATACATAAAAGTGACTTGCGGGGTTACATGGGGCAACATGAGTTGTTTCGCCTGTGCGCTCACAGTAGGAATAATACAAGCAGCAAAATTGCCAGATGGATGGGACGGGAGGACCAGTGGGACTCCATGGCTTACTCCTACTCCATCCCCGTCCCGCTTCTTATCATTCAGAAGGTGTTGAAACTAGTGTCTACTAGGGAGCCAAGCCAATTTGACATCACCAACTCACGGGGCCGGAATGCCCTAAGGAGGTATAGTGCCTTGAGCTCTAATGGAATGGAACATGGAGTTGGTGATGATGTATTATTGGACCTGGAATGGACTGTGGAGTTGGACCTGGATGAGAGCATCCTCATGTGGCACATCGCCACCCGCCTCTTCCTCGGCTGGTTGGATGCGAAGATAATGGTGGTATGGCGTGAGGAGGACCGTGGTCCAGACCTTACTAATCTTTTCCTGGCAACCGGTGCGATGTCCAATTACATGTTTTTCCTGCTTGCTGCGCGCCCATACATGCTGCCTTACCCTGTTAGTCGACAAAGGTATGTTCAACTCTGCTATGATATGATAAATTGCTTGGAGTACACCGGGAATTGTGATCTGCTCAGGGTCATCTGGGACCATGGGACTGCACAGCTCGAGGGATCTCTGGTTACAATTTATCCTCCAGGAGTCAGTGTCAATCTTATATTGGACAGAGGATCTCGGCTTGGTGCAAGGCTGATCAGAAAACATGAAGACAGCAATACGTTATCTATGTTTGAACGTAGCAAGATGCTATCAGTTACACTGGAGGTGATCTTTGAAGTATGGGTGGAGATGTTGTGCCACACGGCCTACTGGTGCAACGAGAACTCTCATGCCAAACACCTGAGCAGTGGTGTGGAGATCATGACCACCATTTCCCTTCTCATGATATACATGTCAAGTGGTTTTATTAACAAAAATGAAAGGTCCCATGCACCGGACATCCATGCGGCTCCTAGAGGAGCCAGATCCGGAAATGTTTAATTATACTGATGTGATGTGAGTATTCTCTTTCGTTTACCCGAGAAACTATACATTGATCATCCCTGCATTTATACTAACGGTGTGCTCATGTGTCAACTACCAGGCACACGTCCATGAATCATTTGCTTGTTGCAAAGTATCAATCATTTGCTTGTTGTGGTTGATAGTTCAAAAGTCTTCAGTGACGATCTACGCCGGAGAGTCATCCATAATTCCATTTTGTACCTGGTACCATCATGGGCTTCATTGTCTTTTGCATTTCCTCAAGTTGTTAAATAAATTAGAATTATTATTTGTACTCTATTTCATATAAGACCTATATATTCAGGAATCATATATTGTTATCAGATATTTTTCTAGACGATTCGTCGTGCCGGCATTATGTTCTTTATTATCCTTTGATTATTTTCACCGTTAGAAAATAATGTTGAAGATATGCCCTAGAGGCAATAATAAAGTTGTTATTGTCAAATTTTCCTGTTCATGCTAAATGTCAATGTTTATTATCCATGTTATCATTGTATTGACCAGAAAGTTAAATACATGTGTGGATACATAAACAGACACCGTGTCCCTAATGAGCCTCTACTAGACTAACTCGTTGATTAAAGATGATTACGGTTTCCTAAAGATAGACATGAATTTTTATTTAATAACGGATCACATCATTAGGAGAATAATGTGATGGATAGATCCAACCGCAAGCTTAGCATCTCATCGTGTCACTTAGTTTAATTGCTACAACTTTTTTCATATGAATTATTTGTTCCTTAGACGTGAGATTGTGCCACTCCCTAATACCGGAAGAATACTTTGTGGGTATCAAAGGTCACTTGGTAACTGGGTGTACATAAAAGTTCTCTACAAGTATCTCGGAAAAGTGTTTGTTGGGCTAGATGGATCGAGAGTGAGATTTGTCGCTCCATTTGACAAAGATATTCTCCGGGCCCACTCGGCAATACAACATCATAAGTAGCTTGCAAGCATGTGACTAATGAGTTTACGGAACGCGTAAAGAAATTTGCCGGTAACGATATTGAACTAGGTATGGAGATACCGACAATCGAATCTCAGACAAACATATCGCCGGACAAAGGGAGTTGTATACGAGATTAATTGAATGCTTGACATCTTGGTTCAACCGATAACAATCCTCATTGAATATGAGGCAGTCAATATGGGCATCCAGGTCACGCTATTGATTATTGGTTGGAGAGGCGTCTCACTCATGTCTGCATGATTCTTCAAACTGTAGGGTCACACACTTAATGTTCGGTAGTGGAGGGTAGTATTGGGATCTTAGATCTTATATATTATATTTACTAATTGGAGGCACCTTTCGAGCTTACACGTTAATCCACATCATTAAGATTAATTCAACCATTGATTTAAAATTTAATTGTCAAGATCTATTAGAAGTCCTGACTTACATAAAGAAACGATGTACGTAAAGAATTAGGAAAAAGTTTATTTTCATCCGGCTGATATCTTCGCTTGCGCAAACCTCCTGGAGAGCCGTCCGATCGACGGGAGATCGTGCGGCTGGAGTCTTCACGCGCGACACGCCCGGCCCAGCCCAATGCCCCGACCCGGTAGCCCAGCTCGCGGAAACCTCCCTGGATTGCAACATTTTCGGCTGCTGCCCATTTCGTCTCCTCTCTCCCCTCTCAGATCCACCGAACGACACCGAGGGCGACGGAACGGCGAAGGCGACGGGAGGAGGAGCGGAGGCGCACTCATCCACATCCCAGTCCATGGCCGAGGACGACCCAAACACCAGGTATTTTTAGATCCTCAACCCTAAATCCATCCGAAAATGTGATCTGCATCGCGGGATTAATTCGAGGAAGGGGAGGAGAGGGGTGGGGTTGTGCTCATCGGAGATGCTACGTAGTAGGGTGTGGGTTGGGGCGGGGTTGAAGGTGCTCGTCGCCTCTGCTAGAGAGTTCATCCAAGGCTCGTCGGAGTAGTTATGGGGCGAGAAAGTTCTCCTCTGGTGCTTTTTGTCATTTTTGTAGATGGGGATGCTTATAGCTTTTCTGCCATAGTTTTCCCTAGGTTTTTCAGTTCATTTAGATTGATGATGTGTTGAAGATCAGAATGCATTCTTTTTATCCAATTTTTTCAGTCATTTTGATTGATGATGTGTTGAAGATCGGAAGCCCTTCATATCGTTTTTAAGGTGGCAGATCATGGCATGGATATTTGTTCAGACTTTGTTATTGATTTTTGTCTGTCTGAATCATGTGTGTTAGTAATGTGCTATGATGTTGTGACAACCAGAGTCATGAAACAACCAGACCCATGAGGATTTCTGTTGTTGATGTGCTGCAATACTCAGTATTTATTTAGTTCTCGTGCAGCACATCATTTGTTCTCCCTCCTTTTTTATTTACTTCGCGTATTAGCTTTGGTCAAAGTCAAACTTTATAAACTTTGACAAAGTTTATAGACAAAATATTAACATATACAATAACAAATCAACACCATTAGATTCATTATCAAATGTACTTCCACATCATATAGATTTGTTATGGTAAATATTTATATTCTTTTTTATAAACTTGGTCAAACTTTAGGAAGTTTGAGTTCAGTCAACACTAATATGTGGTGTAACTAAAAACGGAGGGAGTACTGACTTTGTGTGTGTTGGTAGTCTGAATCATGTGGCTTAGTAATGTGGTGCAATACTCAGTATTTTTAGTTCTAGTGCAGCACAACATTTTGTACATAGTTTTGTGTGCGTTAATAATCTGTTAGTCCTAGTGCTCATTTTTTAACTTTTTTAGTAGTCTCTTTTGTTCTAGTGCTCTTTTTTGACTGAATTTTTCATATAGTAGTATTGCATAGCCTGTTGAGGTTTTGTATTT